GTCACTTTGAGAATAGGAACAAAGCTGTGATATTATGTAGCTAATTCAAATAAGTGAAAAAAATCATTTATATGTGGCATAGTTTTATAAGTTATTTTGTTAGATCAGGAATACTAGGAAACTGTTAGGAGTCACACTATAGAAAGAATGCACATAAAGAGAATTATAATCCTAGTCAATGTTTTATGTTGCGCATCACTTATTACTGTTGGCACAGCAGTGAAATAAAGAGCTGGCTGACAACTCGAATGGTTAAATTCTAGATGGTATGGGTGGGGAACATTAACTCGGGGGTCAATGCAACTCCCATTCGTCAATAAAAAGACTCCCACTGACTTCAAGGATGGGGTTCTAAGTGGCCAATTGTACCCACTGGACATCAAGAGCAACATTCCCATTAAGGATTAGGAATGAATTTGCTCCTGATACATACCTATAACATGGGGAAAATACACCTCTACCCCAATATAACGCTGTCCTCGGGAGCCAAAAACATCTTACCGCGTTACAGGTGAAACCGCATTATATCGAACTTGCTTGATCTGCCGGAGTGCGCAGCCCCGCCCCCCGGCGCGCTGCTTTACTGCGTTATATCCGAATTCGTGTTATATCGGGATGCGCTATATAGGGGTAGAGGTGTACAATAAAAGCACACCAACATTCTATGAAAATCATCATGCATAGTGCTTATATGTTCCTCATCAAAGCACTTAGAAATACCAGCTATGGGATCCTCATAACATCAGCATCACAGGGATGTTCTCTCTATTATATTAATAGGGAAACAAACACAGGAAGGTTTGGTGTCTTGCCAAACAGCACAGTAGAATGCTGCATCAGGATCAGCAAGAGACTCCAGGAGGTTTCTGGCTTCCATTTCTGCATCCAGACCATGAAAGCTCACCTCTCTTATACCAAAACCTACACTTTCATAAACGCCATCTTTCAGCGTGGGTGACACACAGAGATTAACTGTAATTTTGGCTGGCACTGGAATAACATTTTACTTATAATAGGAATGTTAGTGTTTGAGTTCACTATAAAAGGTCTGCCTTGACTGCAGCCAGACAAATGACAGAGAACATTTGTATATCGTAGCAACCTTAGGCAATCATTAACAAAACTATTTCTAGAAGATTGTGGTACCTAATTATCAATGCATTTTGAGAGCGCTATCATAGCAGGACTTTCACCGCATACTGATTCTTGCATGTAAATTACACTGTCATTAGCTCTGATTCTTGGGGAAAAAAATTGAGGTCACTGAACTTTTAGTTAATTAATGTTTTGAGCAGCTGTTAAATACCACTCAGAATAAATAGACAACCATTTCAAATGTAGTGCCACTTGTTTGAAAGAGTAAGCCTCGCAGGTATGAATGGTTTTGCTGATTACCTGGTTTGTTACTACAGATGGGGAAATATTATTCCACAGATTGTTAGACCTAAACCTTATGTAAACAGATGTAGAACAAGCAGCCAGAAACTGCAGGACTAAATAAGCACAGAAGTAATTCAAGGACTAAAATGCAAAGGGAGTTAGGACTCCTGTGACGGTCCCACGATAGAGATGAACATTGAACATACTGGGAGTTATGTGGTGGTTCTTCCCTTTCTTTATCCTTAACTGATGGATTTAAAACAAACAATCTCTCTGCAGAGGAAGAGCAACTCAGAGACACAGCTTGGAGGAAAATAGATTCAGGACAGCAAATGTCATTAAGGCGTTTCTCTCTCCCTCCCTTTTCCCCCACTTCTTGCTTCCAGGAATGATCAATTCAGCAGTTCTATCACTTAACTCTTCAGGGAGTCCCAACTAATTCTTCATATGTTTTGTGGCCCCAGTTGTACAACAAAGAACCTGCTCTTTTGCTCTCTCTCCATCACTCTCAACTTTCCCCTCAGGGCCATTTCTTGTGTCTGTAAGAAGTCCACCTAATACGTAAACTGGAAAAAACAAAAACAAAAAACAACCCTCTCTCTTGCTGACTACAATGAAGTTCAGAAGTGGCAGAGAAAAGAACTCATTTATGACACTGAATGTTCCTAACGCATTGGGAAGAAAATTCTCTCTATGAGCCAGGAAACCAGTTAACTAGAAACTGTATGTAGAAGCAATGTACAGTTTTTAGGCAATGAACTAAACCCTGGGGAAAAGGGAGAATCTGCCAGGGTAATTAGGTGCCAGGCAAGGTTCAAGTTGCCTTCCACAGTAGAGAAGGCTAAGATTTTTTTTTTAAAACAAGACTATGGAACAGGAAAGAAAAGGAAAGGAGTATGTATGTGAGGACACATCATACAGTTGTGAACAATTAACTAAGTTACCATTACGTCATGGGTCAATATTGTTAAGTGTAAACCAGGACAAATAGTGCTCATCTCAGTGCCAGGTAACTGTGATTAAAATCTCTGGTGCACAACAGAATGCTCAACACACTTTGTCCTGGTCGATGTTATTAAGCTGTGGTCAGCATTATCTCATCTAGTTAGTTCACTTACACTGCTCTACAGCCAAAATGCTTCTGAAATAAATGTAGTCAAACTTTACTAATTCTGGGTCACTGAGAACGAAAATGATGCTTAAAATTGTTGATTGGCTCTAGTTTTCAAGATATGCTATTGGGTCAGTATATACGACCCTTGACTTGGGAATGGCGGAGGATGAGTTATAAAGGGAAGGGATCTCAATTTAAACCAGAAATGACTAAAATACATCTTTGACGGGATCTATGAATAAATCTATGACTGGGTTTGGACAGTACTTGCTTTTTAGGCAAAACAATGAATGCAATCTGAAGCTGGTATTGCGTCATACATGATATGAATTGCATCATGTTATTCCTAGAAGTCACGGATGATGCAATCATAACGAAGCTTACATCACTCTGCTGAACAAATTGCCCTATATCAGCTCTAGAAATCATACAGTGTCGTGCTCTCTTATTTGTCAGTGTTTGATTTTGCAAAGGGACACATTTCTGTTTAGCCAAAGTGAGCAGAGATGCCTCGTACTTGTGTGAACAGTGCAGATAACTTCTGCTATGTTTGTGGTGAAGTGACTTTTGCATCACAAAAGCGCAGTATAACCACTATGGTTAAGAAAGCCTATCACCTTTATTTTGGCTGCAAAATTGGAGATCAGGACAAGAGGTGGGCCCCACACATATGCTGCAACACTTGTGCAACAAATCTTCGCCAGTGGTTGAACAGGAAAAGGAAATCTATGCCTTTTGCAGTGCCAATGATTTGGAGAGAGCCAACAGATCATACCAGCAATTGTTACTTCTGCATGGTGCCTCCAGTTGGGGAAGGTGTGTCAAAGAAGAAAAAGTGGACTGTGCATTATCCAAACATTCCATCTGCTATACGCCCAGTACCCCACGGAGAAGGACTGCCGGTTCCTGATCCACCAGAATCGTTCTCACTTGAGTCAGACAAGAGGATGAGGATGAAACTTCTGGTCCCGAACCATCAATGTCACAGGACCCACATTTTCTCCCATCCTCCTTCTCCTCTGAACCACACCTCATAACACAAGGTGAACTGAATGACCTTGTCAGGGATTTGGAACTACCCAAGAGTAAGGCAGAGCTGTTGGGCTCCAGACTACAGCAGTGGAATCTCCTGGCAGGTGATGTTAGGGTTTCCATGTTCCGTGACCGTCAAAAGGATCTTGTCCCATTCTTCTTCATGGAAGGTGATCTTGTAGCCTGCAACAACATCGATGGTGTGATGGCAGCCCTCAATATCGTTCACAATCCAGATGAGTGGAGACTGTTCATTGATTCATCGAAGACGAGTCTTAAAGCTGTTTTACTGCATAATGGCAATGTTTTGCCACCAATTCCAGTTGGTCATGCAGTCCATATGAAGGAAACCTATGACAACATGAAACAACTTTTGAGGTGCATAAACTATGACCAACATCAGTGGCAGCTTTGTGGCGATTTGAAGGTTGTTGCTCTCTTGCTTGGTCTGCAGACTGGATCCACAAAGTACTGCTGTTTTCTCTGCGAATGGGATAGTCGTGCAAGAGATTCCCACTACATCAAGAAAGATTGGCCACTCCGACAGTCATTGGAGCCTGGGAGGAAAAGTGTTCAGCATCCACCACTTGTTGAATCAAGGAAGATTTTGTTACCACCCTTACACATCAAGCTGGGTCTGATGAAGAACTTTGTCAAGGCCATTGACAAAACACAAGCAGCTTTCAAGTACCTCCATGGAAAATTTCCAAGGTTAAGTGAAGCTAAGATAAAGGAAGGTGTCTTTGTTGGTCCTCAGATTCGTGAACTTCGAGATGATGCATTTGACCATGCACTGCGTGGCAAGGAAAAGACGACATGGAAAGCCTTCCAGTTAGTGGCAATAAATTTTCTCAGAAACAACAAGGCAGACAACTACAGGTTGTTGGTGGAAAACCTCCTCAAGGCATACAAAAGCCTTGGTTGCAACATGTCACTAAAGATACATTTTTTGCACTCTCATCTAGATTTTTTTCCACCGAACTGCGGAGCAGTGAGCGACGAGCACAGCGAGCGATTTCACCAGGACATTGCAACAATGGAGAAACGCTATCAGGGCAAATGGAGCCCATCAATGCTTGCAGACTATTGCTGGACAGTGACAAGAGATGCTCCATTTAATGAATGCAAGAGACAAGCCAAGAAGCGCCGAGTAGACACTGAATAGGACTAAACTATGTACATAATAGTTTTTTGCCTTTTGTTTCATAATACATTTTATTTATATAACCCTTTTGCTGATTTTTAAAGTGTTACATAAACAGGACAGGTGAAATATTATCATGTAAAGCAACCATAAACACATGAAAAGACCTAGGTTTACAATTTATGATTAAAACTCTACTATCTACACAGTATACATAGACATAAAATGTAAAAACTTAAATATCTTAGAAACAGTAGCCAGTTGTTTTAATTGTCATATTTGAATTCAGCACATCAAAATACGTAATAGCACATTTTATCTCTGAAGCAGACGACTTCTCAAAAATTGTAGACCAGTGTTATCATTAATCATATTCAAATTTAACAGAGAAACCCAGAAAACCAGTCAGAAGTTGGAAAAACCAACTTAAATTATTAGCATTTCTCTTCATTGATCTGCTTTCTCTTAAACAAAACAATAGAATTTGAGTTGGCAACCACCTTGGCATTTACCAGAAGAGCTTTCATCTGGCTTATTCTTAACTCTACTCTATACTGTCATTTTTATACATTTTTTGCTTTGGTGAGGAGCCTTAGTGACATCCAGGGCAAAAGCAATCTTTCATCCAGAATGAACCAGTCTCAGACCTATATAAGTACCCTCTGTTCTCCCAAAGTAGGATTTTTGCAGGCTGGCAAGGAAGGACCAAAGACCTGACCAGCCTGTTGTCAATTATTAGCAATGGACTTAACTTTGCCTCTTACTTCTGATGCATTTCCACCTCCTTTAATTATCTGCTCTAAGAGGATTTGTTCTGCTGACTAAGCCACTGCATTGGCCTCTCAGCAAGAGCATAGACCAGCTGGACGCTCCAGGTGATCACAGACCCAGGCCTCTCTCAGAATACTACTTCCCACCAAAATAAACCAGTAATGTCCATAAAGCACTCTTTCTTACACAGAACTCCTGGAGGTCTACAGCCGTGAAATATCATACTCGATTTAGACTTGGCATCAGATTCTTCACAAAGTGTCTTATTTATGGGTGTAATATGCTCACATTCTGAGGTGGTAGTATTTTTGCACTCATGTTACATATGATATGAGGCAGTGGAGAATCAGCCCACACTGACAGTAGTGGGCTTCTGGGCTGAATTTGGTTTGCAATTTCTATTAATTTCATACCCACTCTTCTCATCCAGTTTCAGAATGGACTACTTATCATAGTTCATTTCAAAGCAGTCTCCTCCTCCCACTCTCCATCCTAGGCAAAAAGAGGTCATAGAGGGGTCCAGCACACCAAGATGACAGTTTGAACTCAGGACATAATGTGTCTTTGCTAAAACACTTTACACTAGCTAGCCCCAAATGGCCATTTGTGTGCCATGTTCAGCTTGTTGCTCCATCGTTTGAGGGGCTCTGCAGATGGGACTGGATAACCCCCTACAGAAGGGTGGAGAGATTTGGGAGAAGGGCTAAGGCTACAGCATCAACACCATGTTAGTTCTCTCCACATACACATTATGAAGTGCTGCCTATTTGATATGCAGTTACAAAAGAGTTAGGTGCCTAGATCCTAACAATTTGTAAAACAATGCTCATTTGTGCCATGTTGAGGGTACATCATGCCAGACCTGCAGGTAAGACTAGCTTTCAAGCCGCGTACTCTAGTCAATCTAGCCAATTTTGCTGTCCCATGCATTTGGGACAGACATGGCTTAATTTCTTCCCTATGCCTATGCGCTTCAGGGAGCACAGGCTATGGTGATAGGGCAGGACATGAGGAGCCCCTTCCTTCCCCATGTGACCTGTTTATGCATGTGGAATAGGAGGGCATAATCTGACCCTGTATAAGCAGGGCTCCAAGCAGTGGCCAAAAGAGAAAGGGTACCTTGAAAATTTGCTGGTACTCTTGGAACATTATGCTCATAGCCATGCTGTTTTGTTGCTGTGTGCGGTCAATGAAAGCAGTAATGCTTATTTATAAATTAAAGATCTTCACCCACAATAACTGAATTTTCATTGATTGGATGTATAGAAGCTACTACTCATCTGCCTCCAAACATTATAGTCTCAATACATCACATTTGTGACCTTCCTAAATGTAATATTACAGGATACTGCTACAGTAGGAGATCCAATAATACATCACCTAGGGTTTGTTTCCACTACAAAGGGAGTTTTGTTTTCTATCTGGGCAACACTCAAGTTATCATAGGCTGAGGGTGCAACAGAAACCATTTAAAACTGGGGGCAGGCACACAGGCCACAATATAAATGGTGACATCTACCTAAGTTACAACGCAGCAGGTAATTCTCATTGTACAAGTAGTGAAACGAGAGTCATTTTTTGCTGGCCATGTTTTATTTGTCTTTCTTTAAACAGGGGAGCCAATAATACATACAGTATCCCAAAAAACCCAAAAAAACAACAAAAACAAACAAACAAAAAACAGAAGGTAAAACAAATTTCCAGAAGACCAAGATGCTACATGCTACATTTAACCTAATTTTATTCATGCTTGTTTTGGGGCTGGGAATTATTCGGTAAAAACATACAGTAAAAGCAAAATGTCTCACCATATAGAACTTTTAACCTACATTAATAATGTACCTTAATTATTTCCATGCACACAACTAACGTTACAAAATTTAAAAAAAAAATGAAGACAATTAAGATTTCTAGGAGCATTTTATAATAAAGCAATTCCTAAATTTTTGTAGAGAGATCAAGCACCCCCAAATTACAAATTCCTATACACAGTGAGTGCTTTACTTGAAATGAAAACTTAAAAAAAAATAGATGTATTGGACAGCCTTAGAATAAGCCAATGTTATTATATATTCAGCTATGTGGGCAATAAACCATAGTGCTAAACAAAAACCTTATCTGCCAAGTAACTTCAAAAATTAAGTTGACTTTCTGTAATTACAGAAAACATTTATTTGTTAAAATAAATAAAAGTGCCACATATTAACACTTCACTATAAAGAATGCATACCAGAACATTTATAAATATTGAATGATTTTTCAGGAAAAATAGCTACTATAATAATGCTGGCTAAAGAGAAGTGCATAATGAGAAGCACTATGGGTGATTAATGTTTTGCCACATACTGCTGTTACCTTGAGGTAGATAACACATGCGTACCAAATTCTGCATTCATTTTCAGTTGCTGCTGGTATCATGTGTCTAAGAAATGTTTACAGTATGAAAAACTAATACACGAATGAAAAAATGTTTCAGGGAAAAATAGATATTTTCATGCAATTATGTACAGTCTCACTGTGTAAATTTCAAGGCAAGGTTCTTTTTTCTGCAAAACATGGACAACTGTTTTACTGACAGAATGTTTTTACTTGGTTTAGTGCATTTTTTTGTTTCTTCCTACATTTTGCATTATTCTGCTCTATTCTTTTATTTTGTGTGCAAACGACATGCCAGTTTAAAAACAAAAAACTAACTCATGTATAGAAATTAATTCTGGATTGTAAAACTGATGGTAAACAGAAAGCTAATGAAATCCATACCAAAATTACACCATCTGATTCAAGTAAAAAAATTACTTACACTAGTAATAAAAAAGACAAAAACATCTCATGAAGAATACAAAAAAAATGTCTGCTGAGTGTTTTAATTTAGATGTTTCAGAATGCTGCTGTATGTTTTATGGGGAATTTGGGGAGATGATTTCATAGCAGAAGGTGTTAATGTGGCCTGAATTGATTTAAGTGGTGAACCAACAGGACTGTGAAACTGAGGGATACCTATAGCCTCTAACTGCTTGTTAAAGAGAAACTCCCCACTGTTACTAAGAAAGCTCTCTTCTCTTTCCTTTTCCCCAAGCTTCCCATCTTCTACTGGCTCAGTTTCTAGCATTTCTGTATCTTCTTTCTTACTAAAGAATTTGTCCAAATAACTGGTGTAAGTGTTTTCTTTTTCAATTTGTTCATCTTTCCTGACTTCACAACAAAACTGATCTATGAGGAAGCACTCCTCCCCATCACTTACAAACTGGCTATCCCAAGAAGTTTGGTACAGCGCTTCCAACTGTGCCAAGTTGGCCATTCCTTTTTCCTGTTTCTCTCTGCTTACTGACTTTGATATTAAGGCTTTCAATTCCAGTTGGGACACTGAGCTATTCAAGTCATTTAATTTATCAACATCAGTAGACTCATGTTGTAAACTAAGTTGAATGGTTCCTGCTATAAATGAATCAAAGTCAAACCCTTGATTCTTCTCCCTTTCTTTTTCAACAAGCTGCTGTGATGCTTCCTCAAGAGCTATCTGAGCTTTCACCAATCCATTCCTTTCACATTTTGACTTGCCTTTCTTATCAGACTTTTCTTTGCTCTGCTCCTTCCAGTTAGAAAGATCTATAATAAGCTTGGGCTCATAGTAATGGTTAACTTCACTATCTCGCCAGACTAAGTTATCTAGGTATGAAGATGACCTCATTTTGTAATTACAAGTGTGGCTACATTCCAGATCACAGTACTTGTTTTCATGGTGGTCGGGATATTGCCAGCAAGGCTCAGTAGAGAAGTGTGTGTCAAAAGCAGGATCCTCCAGATACTTTTCACGATCTCCATCCAAATATTTGCGAGGATCTACTTGCACTTCTTCCTCATCAGTGACATCAGAAAGAGCCCTTGGATCACGCTGAACTTCATCAGCTTCAAAGTTATTATGAATAGGCCAGTCATGATCTGAAAACTGACTTTCATGGTATCTGTAATAATTAATTTCCTAGAGTTAGTGAATGAAAATAAACCTTCTTGATTACAAATTATCCCAGACAAAAAACAAACAAACAAACAAACAAAAACGCTAGACCATTTACAATTCAACATATGCAAGTAATTTCTTAACTGAACTGGGCGGTCTCTGTATTTTAGATTTTTAAATGCATCCTGAATATGGTAATTTATACATGCATGTCTTTAATAATTTTAAATCCCAGAATATAAATCACTAAAATATGAGATTTAACCCAAATTAAGAATCCCCCCCACAAATATTCTCCTATCAGAAATGCTATTTTAAGTAAAGATATTTTTAAATACGACTATTGCAATTCTATGCTTTTACTAGTGTATTTACTGAATGTAGAATATGGAAAATTTGCATTCCTGACCAATTTGTCTTACTGAAGAAAGTTAAAAAAAAATTAATCTTAAAAGCCTAGCAGACTGAAAAATAGTCAGTCTTTGTTGTGCTTTATATTGCAGCGGACAATTATAAAGCGCATAACGACTAGTTACAGAGACAAGCTGTGGGAAAATACATATCCTCATGTTAATTTAGAAAAATCAATTAAAATACAATTGGGGTTTCTGGGGAGGTGGAGGGGGAAGGAGGAGGAAAGACTTCTCACCATGGGAATACTTATTCCTGCTTTCTGCAGAGTTCTACTGCTCTTAAAGTGATGTACTCATAGCATCTCAGATATAGCCTCTTACTTTAGATTTAAGGGAGATGTCATGATTCAGCGGCACAAGACAATTCATTAATATCTAAACAAATTTGGAATAAATTTACCTTTCCCAATTATAAATATGGCTGTGACTTTCATCCATGAGCAGAATATCATCAACCTCATCTTCAATGTGAAAAGGATGACTTGAAATGGGCTCATCCGTTGGAAAGGAGTAAATGCTCATATAAGAATGGGACAAAGCTTCTTCTGCTGTCAATCGATCCATGGGACTAAATGTCAAAATTTGCTCCAGGAAGTCCAGTGCTGGAGAGTAAAACCACATCAGTGATCAGTAATTAGAAGCTGAAAATCTTTATTCCTGAAACAATTACACCTGGGGATTATAAACACACTGCTTTATTTTACACATGTATGTCTATGTCAAAGACTGTTGAAAACATTGAGACTTAAAGGCTACAGAATGATTTTAAGACAAAGCAACCAGGTGATAAAATCAATGTGGACAAAAATCTATACTGTAATCTAAATTCCCTCTAAGCTGCGTGGCCATGCAGCAAGCTATCAAGGGTTGCGCAGGCAGGGAGAGGCACCTCTCGCCTGGCCCCAGCCCCAGCCCCTAGAGCTGCCACACCCGGGCAGAGGTGCCTCTCCCTGGCCTCGGGCTGCTGCGGCAAGAGAGGGCTGGGGGGAGTCCTCTCTCCTCACCGCAGCCCTGGGGCAGCCTGCACCCCAACCCCCTCATCCCCAGCCCCACCACAGAGCTCACATCCCCAGCACCCCAACCCTCTGCCCCAGCCCAGGGCCCCCTCATGCACCCCAAACCCCTCATCCCCACCAGAGCCCACACCCCCAGCCAGAGCCTTCTTCCCCCCTGCACCCCAACCTTCTGCTCCAGCCCTGAGACCCCTCCCACACTCCAAACCCCTCGCCCCCACCCCCACCACACATCACCTCCATATTGGTGCACATAAAATTCATTCCGCACATGGATGTAAAAAATTAGAGGGAACATTGACTGTAACTATAAATCTGGAAAGGCAGAATACAGCAATAAGTGGTGATTTTTAAAAGAGAATTTCTTATTAGTTTTAAGTTAATCGAGTTAGCATGGTCTAAATCAAGCTAGCAAGTGCCCCTGACTTCTACCAAGGAATGGTCAAAAAAAAAAAAAAAAAAAAAAAGATTCAAAATGTTTTGTTCAAGCAGGAATACTTGAACCAAAACTTTTCTATTTTGTCAAAATAGTGCCTAAAATGTTTTCAGAACAATTACTGTATACTCCTGAAGCAATTACATCATTCACATGCTCACATTCACATCCTTAGAGGATTAACGTCTCAACAACCCCCTCCGCCCCTCAGCATTATTTGAATGGTCACAAAGATATCCCCCCTCTTTCTATGGCTCCCTGCAAAGCCATGCAACACTCCTCTAGCACTGACGAAGTAGCTATAATAAAGGGATACAAGATGCTCCATTTCTCACAAGGGCTGGAAACAACTGCCTCCACAAAATTCCTATTCTGGAGAATGACCAGGAGTCAAACATGTGACGTCATATATAGTATCGACCCTGCCATCCATGAAAACAAGCTTAATACATAACCAAGTTGGTGCCAAAAATGTTCACTGTAAAGTTGTCAGCTATGATTTTTACGGTTTTTAATTTACAGGGACTAAAATTAGATTTTTTTCAGAACCACTTACCTTCAGGACTGATGCCTGGAAGCAGCTGTGTTAAAGGTTTGTGCGGCTCAGTCATATCATTTTTAATGTAAACTGGGATTACACTGAGAAGCTCCTGACGGTCCTCCTCATGCACAACAGGAATTGACTCTAAAATCAGCTGCATCTGTTCAAGTTCATGTGCACCTAAAAGTTAAGCAGACAAGACAAGAAGTCAGTTATGTTCCAAACAACTTTCTTTAATTTCTGACAAACACATGAGCTCAAAAGTAGTTTAGTACACCTAGAAGGAATTAGTGTAGTATGGCTAGATATTAGCCTATTATGTCTTACAGAGTCTTAAATTTCTGTACATCAAACTCCAAGAATATGTCTCACCACTTGTTTTTTGCCAATATCCTGCCCCCTCCAGCTGTTCCATTTTGCTTACTCAATAGTTCATTCAATATCTGGAGCACTTTATGTTCCGTGCTCCTCTACCATCAGAACAGCGATGATTCATCTCAGCTTTTAATTACTTTAACATAATTCACGGACCCACCAATTGATCCATTTGAAGTACAATTCGGAACTGAAATCTTGCAGTAATGTCAGGAATGCTATTACAATACATCAATAGCAGTTGATTAAAAAAGTGTTCCACATAAAATTCGTACAAATATTGTTTTTTATTTTTGAAGTGCAGTATTAACATTTAAAATAGTTAATGAAGTGTACTTATGCATATTAAAAAGGCAGCCATGCAACACTGCCTTTAAGAAGACTATTCAAAAACCAAGCCTATAAATATGGGACAGCAGGCATAAACACAAAACGCTTACTAAATTAGAAGGGAGCTTTTCCACTGACCAGCTGGCCATGACTGTGAGGACGATGACGATAAACCCCTAGCAGGAGCCATTCAGTAGTAGGGTGGCCCCCCTGTGGCCAGGCCCAGGGACTCCTCCTCGCAGTCCTGGCCAGGATCTCTGCTCTGCCCTGCCAGGACTGCACCCTCCCTCCCGCACCTTCACAGTTTGGGTAGAGTGTCAGCAACACCCTGGCTATGCAGGGAGCCTTTTGCAGCCCTGCTGTCATGGAAGTGAGCAAGTGGGTCCTGGCGGTACAGATCAGACACTCCCAGCCAGGACTGCAAGACCCATGCCACAGGGGAGGCTGCCCCACTGTGAATGGCTCCTACGCAGGACAGCCCCCACACACTCCCAGCTGATGAGGGAGCGAGCAGATCCGCAGAGGATACCTTGCACTGATGCAGTGCCACTGACACCTGATCCCTTTAGGCACAAGGTGCAAGAGGGAGACAGAGCACTGACTGCTGGCCAGGAGAACCCCAATAGGAACCATTCATCAGCAGCGTGGCCTCCCCTGCTGCAAGGGACTCATCCTAATAGTCCTGGCCGGGAACCTCTGCTCTCCCATGAAAGGACCGCAGCTTTCCCTGCACCTTGCCCCTTCAGGAGTTAGGTGTCACTGGCTCTGCAGCTTTGCTGTGATGGCCCCACTCGCTCACTTGTCAACAAGGCGTGTGGCACTGGGAGCTGTTCCCAGCCAGGAACTGTTCAGCAGTGGGGTGGCCTGCCCTGTGATTGCAGGCTTGTCCTCCTCCTTGCAATCTTAGCTAGGGGTCTTGCTGCACTGAGCTGGGATGACTACAGCAGCCACCCTGCATGTTGTGCCATGGAGTGGAAGGTCCCTTGGCCATGCAGGGATCTAGTCCCACTGTCAGTGCTGGTAGGGAGCCCATTGCAGCCCCACTGTCAGAACTGGTCGTAACTGCTGCAGTCCTGCTGCAGCCTCACCGAGCTGTGGTTACCACAGCAACATCTTCACAAAATGACTCCTGGGCATGGTAAGTTCCCATGGTAACAAGGCAGCTTCCTGAAGCACAGATATCTAAACCACAATTTGAGCCCCACCCATATTTACGTTTTCTGGCATTACATTTCACTATGGAGATTGGGGGGAAGGGGGAGACAGAAGTGACAGATTTATTTAAATCAAATCACAAGCACTTCTTGTGGAGTTATGTTAGCTTATTTAAATGTATACATGCTTAAGTATCCTTAACATATTTGTATATATACAAAAAACGTAGTTTTTGGGAATTAGTTTCTGAATTCTTTAGTTAGGCTGTACCTCACTTGCCTGGGCTGACGAGCAGCAGCTGCTTTTGTTTCTCTCTCAGTCTATTTAAGAATTTGCTTAAGAAAATGAAAGATCTTCTCTTTTCCCCATTCAAGATGAACTATTTATTGTTTAAATATTTGCTTGGAAATGTGAATGTATAACTGCTATTAAAAATATATTACTTCTGTATTTTACACTACTCTTAAAAAGCCTTCTAAAAATTCCTTTATAGTCATAATCAACTTTCTTCCCGAGCCCCAAGTATTCTGGGATGTCTACTATTTCCTCTTTCATTGAAGTTGCTTTCTAGTAAGCAGGATTCTGAGGGATAACTTGGAAGCACAGACAGGCAATGAACATTAAAAACCTCAGAAGAACAGTGTTCCAATCAGAAAAATAAATTAATGTCTTGATATTAACATGTTAAATACAACTGTTAGATACCCCTCTAGATTTTCCCCTCCTCCCATTTATCTAAAGACATTAAAAGTTAGCTTCCTGAAAAAGAGAGAAGTAAAGATGATACTAAATTAGCTTCCTGAGCTAGGACTTAGCGGGAGTCTTTTCTAGTTGCTTCTTTATCTGATCTCACATGTAAACAGACATGCTGAACTTGGGATTTTCCCTATAAAGGCTGAATCAAAACTTAAGTCTGGATGATGAATAATGTATGTTTCCAGATATACAGGCTTACAACTCCACCTTCTTATGATTTACTCTTAACTTTTTTAAACTGACACCACACATGAAGAAAACATGTACAAGTATCCTACTTGGTGGCAAAACAAGAGAGACTCATATATGCATTTGTATAGCCTGCGGCCACAGGATGCATTAGATACAAGAATCCCACACCTGCTGACAAAACTGCACAGAGCTAGAAAGAAAAAGTCTTTACCAAGAAATTACGGTCAGATTTTCAAGCAAGCTCAGCTACTTCCCCTTCAGACACCTAAATGAAGTGGCCAAATTGTTAAAAGTGCTCAGCTGCTAACAATTTTCCATTGAGAACAATTAGCTCTCTCAAAAATTTGGTCCCAATTGTGGGCACTAAGCACTTTTGGAAGTTTGGCTTGTAGTGGTTTTAATTTGGACATTACTGTATTAGAGAGAGAAAAAAAACTGCATAAGCCTTTTGCTTGTGCTGTGAGGGTAACTGCAATTTCACAAGATGAACTTTACAATATTGTACAACACACCTCTTTCCAGCTACAGTGACATTTTCCATTAGAAGTCATTGGCTTTTCTAGGAAACCACCTCTTAGCAGACTACAAACAGACAACAGCATTAAGCTCTCATTAATGCACCCAACTCTGTGCATCCCCAACGTAAGTGCATCCTATATTTTTTGTTATACCTAGTAAATATGAAAGAGCAGGGGTCGGCAACCTACGGCACCGTGCCAAAGGTGGCACGTGAGCCGATTTTTAATGGCATGCCGAGGTCCGAGCCACCGGCCCCGCTCAGCCCGCTGCCGGCCTGGGTGAAGGGAACCCTAGGCCGGTAGCGGGCTGAGCGGAGCCGGCAGCTGAGACCCCGGCTGGCAGGAGCTGGGGGCCAGAACCCCAGACTGGCAGCGGGCCGAGCGGGGCCCTGGCACTGCTCAGCCCGCTGCCAGCCCAGGATCCCGGCCTCTGGTCCCGCTCAGCCTGCTGCTGGCCTGGATGGACGGAACCCCGGGCCGGCAGCGGGCTGAGCGGGGCCAGCAGCTGGAACCCCAGCTGGCAGGAGCCGGCCGCCGGAACTCCAGACCGGCAGCAGGCTGAGCCACTCAGCCCACCGCCGCTCTGGGGTCCCGGCCGCCGGCCCCGCTCAGCCAGCCGCTGCTCTGGGGTTCCGGCAGCCGGCCCCTAGAAGTGAAAGTAAGGTGGAGCGTGCACTCTCGGAGTCGGCCGATGCTGGAACGCTGCGCTGCAGCTGGAGGCACAGCGCGTGTCACGCTCCCAGCTGAGGTCCTGCTGGCTGCCAGAACTCTCCTGCAGGCGGCCCCGTGCACCGGACTAAGCAGCATGCAGTCAGGCAAGTGAAAGGGGCTGGCGGGAGGCGCGGTGGAGGTGTCCGCGTCCCAGCCTGTCCTGCTGTCCCTCTCTCACCACTATGGCTGGATACCAGGGCACTACAGTCACGTGCCGTCCCTGGGGCGTGCACAGCTGTGGCCCTTCGGGGGGGAAGGGGAAGGGAGCGGCAGGCCAGGGAGTCTTCTGCCGCCACCCCCCATTTGCCTGCAGATGCAGTGCCCCCACACAGCTGGCCCACAGCTCCCTTGGCAGGAACAGCGTGGGGCAGGGACCCATCCACCATCCAGGTAACCCGGCTGCAACCGGGACTGTCCCAGGCCAGCCCCAAGCCCCCGGCCCACAGGACTTCCCCCCTACATACACACCCCAACCCCCTGCCCTGAGCCCCTCACGCCACCCAACCCTGACTCCTGCACCCCCCATGCTCCCAGCCCTGACTCCTGCATCATCCACATCCCCACCCCCTGCCCTGAGCCCCCCGCACCCCAACCCCCTGCCCTGAGTGCTCCGCCCCACACCCACACTCCCTTTTCCCTGTAAAATACATTGTTGAAGCTACCATGCATTCGGCACTCAAAATTAAGCTGTACTGTAGCATTTTAAGAGATATATAGCAGCCAAGCTTTAATCTAAATACTTTTTTTAGCCCACTCTTTTCATGTAATAAAATAAATGTCTGGACTAATACTCAATCTTGATATTTAAATCAAATCAGTCCAAGATAAAGAACAAGTCTCAGTCTATGGGCATAGCAGAGTGTGTAATGGTGAATCTGTCTGTAATGGGATGTCATGGTTTCCAACCATGTCTAGAGGGCAAAACAAATGTGAACAGCTGAAAAACTCTCTCTATGGAGGGTAGAGTAGATTGAACTTGCCAGTCCATAGACCGTGGAGGAGGAAAGCATGATACAAAAGACAAAATGCAAGACAGTGTCATCTAGCCAAGTGGGGAAGGGGTAGGGTGTTCTGAAGCAAAGTAGAGTCGTCTGGCCCACATGCAATGAGGTTTGGTTCACTGGTCAGTAAGCAGAATGTGGAGTGAGGCAAGAAGTGGTTTGTAGCCCATAAGGAAGATGTAAATAAGTTAGGGTGCACAGATAAAGTAAAGTGGAGGCGGTCTATAATCCATAAGTGATAAGTATTCTGAGGCCAGCTTAAGGCTGAAATTGAAACTACAAATATGCACGGTTTGTCCTTTGATTTTTCAAGAAAAATTGAACAGACAATGGAACGAAGATGTAAAATTAAGCTACCATTATGAAAGACATCAAGACAAAAGAATGGAAGCATACGAGTACATGGCTTTATGCTTTTATTTATGTAATAGTTTTGACATAAAAAGGGCCAGAGCATAATCCTAGGATCAATGTATATTAAAAATGTAATCTAAATTCTAGTGATGCAACATTGCTAAAATATTTTTAGATTACATTTTTAATATACAGATTCTATGTTTGTGCTATATTAAACTGCATCGATGAACGCAAAGCACCAAATTTCAGGACTTTGTGTTACTGACTCAGACAGCTCTGATGGAAAAAATGCTACATTTCTTTCACTCATTCTCAATAAGCTAGAGGCACATTATATTTCCATTTTTTGAGTATTAAATATTTTGCTTCCAAGAGACACTTCAGTACCCATTTCTCAGTGCTCACTGGAAGATTTAATACATCTATTAATTCCAGGACAAACTTCTGGAGAGAGGCAGATCTCTATGTAACTTCAAGTTCCTAGCGATTTTCAAAGATATGACATCCAATTAATGGCATTTTAAAGCACAAAATGCTCTCAACTTAACTTTTATATTGATGCCTGAAGTTAATAATAATGCTGTAAGGAAATTCCTATTATTATTATTATTATTTTTTTTTTTTAAGTGTATGGAAAACTTGTCACACTCCTAACTCAAACAGCTGAATGGATTTTGCTTGTACTTTTGTGAGACCTGTATTTCATTAATTGTACACGTGTTAGTTATACTGACAGAAGTTAACTCCTGAGTTAGTGTAGTTCTCAGGGAGAGAAGTAGTTTGCATCCCATGTGATCAGAAACATTAATGGAGGTTACAAGTTTTGCTGGCAAAACCACAAACTCATAAGGGCTGTGAGCCGCATTAAATTCAAAGGGACATATCCTACCCTAAACAATGTCCTTTCTGCACCAATGGAGCACCAGAAGTGGGTTATAAATAAGGCTACGTTTTAGTCACGGGTATTTTTAGTAAAAGTCACGGACAGGTCACGGACTGTAAACATTCGCGGCCCGTGACCTGTCCATGACTTTTACTACATACCCCTGATTAAAACTTGGGGTGGGGGCAGCTTGGGGGGGCCAGACCAGGGGGGGCCAAAGGTGCTGGGGGAGGGGGCGGAGGCCCATGGCCGAGGGGGGTGCCAGGTGTGCTGGGGTAGGGGGGAGGCAGCCGGGGGCACCATGGGTGCTTGGGGGGGGGGCGGGAGAGAGGGTTGGCGAGGCTGGGGCAGGCTCTCTACCCTGCTCTTGAGCACCACATGCTGCCTCTGCTCCACCCCACCCCGCCCCAAGCCCAGTTCTGCAGCTCCCATTGGCTGGGAACCGTGGCCAATGGGAGCTGTGGGGGCAGTGTCTGCCGGCAGAGGCAGCCCATGGAGCTAGGAAGAGCTGAGGGAGGGGAGTTCCTCTCGCCCTTCCGGGGAGCCCCCCCTAGGTAAGCACCTCCCCGCGCCCCAGCCCTGAGCTTCCCCCCCCCCCAGCAAACTCCGGCTGCTGCAGGGTGAGATGGGGGCAAGACTGCCCCAGCAGCAGCCGGTATGCCTGGGTGAATGACAATCAGTACGCTACCAACCTGCAAAGAGGGTTTTCCCAGTCAGCATTTCAGCAAAGATGCAACCTGCAGCCCACATGTCAATGGCTTTAGTGTAGTTGTTAGGAGAAAGTAAGAGACGGGGTGATCTGTACCATTTAGTAACCAATCCCTCAGAAAGATGGCCCTAAGAAAGAAAAAAGAATATGCAAATAAGATTTCTTTAAGACAAAAAAAATTATTGTAATCCAAGCCTCCAAAGACATTATACCATTTGATCACATGTATCATCCTACCGGTTACATTTAGTGTACCATGCATACCAATACTGTATATTTTATAAGCACACTAAACAAGTTTAAATATTGTTTGCAATGAGCTCCAAGTTTGATCTCGAAAGGGCTATTTTATACAACCACCTTTAAAACAGAGTTAAGTCCAATGGTGATTGTATTTAATCAATGACTTGCAACTTGATTTACATGAGGTAATAGCTCCTAAAAGTTCCTTATTTCCAAATGTCAAGTTAATGGAGATAATAAACAAATCCCTTCTGAGACATGAAACAAGAAACAGGAAGATCACACTATACTAATAAATCCCAGTGAGTCGTCACATTTGTACATTGGGGATGCACAGATATTTTAAAATAATCTAAAGTTCCTGTAATTCTACATCTATGAATTGCTCTTAAAACCTAAGTTGTGCATTTGTTCATCTAAATACTGCTTTTATAAATACTCAGAGTTAAATTCCCTTCCTGGTTATGTGCATGCAATCTCCCCCTGGAAGTAAACAAATTGTCTGAGGGCTTAACCTGCCCCCAAAATATTACATTTATGAGGATTAAAAAAAAAAGCAGCACTCTCATCCACTGCATTTGCCAAAATTTTAAACACTAACTCTGGATTATCTCCCATGGCAAGGTTACAAGTAAATTAGTTAACTAAAGTAGCATGCTCAGAACTTTCAAAAGACCAGATGAGATACAAAGCCATCAGAGGTGAAAAATCTCAATGTTTTTGGGGCTGAAGGCAAGACATTCATGGTACACTAGCAGCCATTAATGCCCGCCTATGGAGATAATGACATTTTAACTTGGGCTATGTCTACACTAGCACCTTCATCAAAATTGTCACTCAGAGGTGTGAAAAAACACACCCCCTGCCCCAACAACAAACGTTTTAACGACAATAGCGCCAGGGTGGACAGCGTTTCATCAGTGGGAGCTGCACTCCCAGCGACAAAGGGCTGGTCCACACTACCCGCCTGATTCGGCGGGTAGAGATCGATCTTCTGGGATCGATTTATCGCGTCTCATCTGGACGCGATAGATCGATCCCAGAAGCGCTCCCCCGTCGACTGCGGAACTCCTGCTCGCCGAGAGAAGGAAGCGCTGTCGACGGGGGAGCCTGCCTGCGCCGCGTGGACCCGAAGTAAGTAAATTTAGTTCGATCTAGGAAACGTCGACTTCAGCTACGCTATTCTCGTAGCTGAAGTTGCGTTTCCTAGATCGATCCCCCGCCCCAGTGTGGACCTGCCCAAAACTACCACTCCTTGTTGGAGGTGGCTCTATTATGTTGCCGGGAGAGAGCTACACAGCGCACCTTACAATGGTGCGGCTGCAGCTACACTGCTGCGCCGTTGAAAAGTACGCAGTGTAGACATAGCCTTACTCTGCCAGCGTTCTTAGACAAGCAGCAAATGCTGCAACTTTGTAAAATACTGTGAGGAAAGTTAGTTACCAATCCAGGATAGGCTTAAGAAACTTTCCTCTTGCACCAACCCTGCCCATCAAGCACTTATATTATAATGATGAATACTACTAAAGTACCTAGACAAAGAGAGACCAATCTAAGATGGATAGGCTATTGGGATATCACTTTTTAAAAAGTGAATCCATCTCTCCACAAACCTTATGGGAATAATGAGGATCCATGATCCGTGCAAGACCAAAGTCGCCAATCTTCAGCACCAAGTCTTCAGTATTAATGAAAAGATTAGCTGGTTTGAGATCTCTGTGCAGAACGTTTGCAGAGTGAATATACTTGAGCCCACGTAGCAGCTGGTACATGAAAAGCCTGGCATGTTCTTCCAGTAAAGGGCCCTGCTCTAACAGGTTAGCCAGATCCGTCTCCATGTACTCTTGAACAATGTAAACACAGTTCAGTTCCGTAAGGGAGCCCACATCATCCGTTAACTGGCTTCCATTGGGACCAAGAATTTCAAATACTTTCACAATGTTATCATGGTCAAGTCTTCTAATAATTTTAATCTCACGTAGAGCATGTTTAACACTCTGAGGATCTGTGAGGACAATTTTCTTGACAGCCACTCTTTTATCACAGTCATTATCGACAGCAGAAAAAACTAAGCCATTTCCACCACAGCCCAGTGGTTTCAAGTCCATATATCGAGAGCCCAGATCAAAACCATGAATGTTCATGAGACTTTCAAACTTTTCTGCCATTTTGAAATTCTTCACGTTTCTTTTTCCTCTTAAGCTACCAAGCTTCTGTAAATACGTAGACACTCTTCCACTGGTATCTGAAGGAAAGATCTTACAGAAAGGGAGAAGAAAAACTCGGCTTTGACTGCAATATGTTTTTTTGACACACTCATTGCATTATTAGCCAACCAGGCCTGTTGTGTCCCCTTAAATTTAGAGCTGACAAACGCTATAACTCAAACTGAGCGTAAGATAGAAAGATTGCAGCATTCATAGTTCAAGGAAGGTGCAGAATCTCTGCAGACATTAAAGAAAATACTCACAAGAAACTCAAACGAAATGAAATGACATACTATGCACTCAGCTCTACCATGTAACTGGGTAACATTTAACAAAAATGTGAATAAATATGCACATAATAGACTTCTATTAACATCCTCCTCCTCACAGTGCAGATACATTCAGTGTTGGACTGGTCCTGAGCAGCGTCATTCTATGGTGCTGGTAAGCACTATGTTTTTTCTTCCTTTTCTTCCTCCTTTGTTTACAGTCTAGTTAAACAGGAAACTGGCAGATCTTGATTTACAAAAGTTGCCTTCTGCTAATGATCAGGTGGCTCCAGCTCACCACAATCACAATCAAAGCTACCATCCATTTTATTCCGTGACAACCTGGAGGGGAAATAAAAAAAAGAAAGAGAGAGAGAGAGAGAGAGAGAGAGAGAGAAAGAAAATAGGTCAGTGTTTCTATACAAAAGACTTTTAGACTGCTTCAGACAAGTTGTAGGTCATTATTTGAGCACATCACCTGTAACCACAAAAAGGACCACCACCACAATTGTAGAACTAGAAATAATGCATACTTTTTATGCTCTTTGAGGATGAAGTGACATTAGCCTCCCCCCCCACACCCAGAACCCCTCCACTGAGCCCCAAGCACCCAAATCCCCACCCCACTGAGCCCCCCCATCCCAGTGAGACCCCCCATCCAGACTCCTTGCCGAGCCCCTACACCCTGCATCCGGACCCCCACCCTGCACCAAGACCAGTCTCCAACGAGCCCCAACCAACTGCACTCAGACCCTTACCCCACCGAGCCCCATTTCCCATACACCCAGACCCCCACCCCACTGAGCCCCACTTCCCCGCCACCCCATCGCGGAGCCCCCACACCCAGACCTGCCGAGTCCCATTCCTCCACACCCAGACCCCTTCCTGCTGAGCTCCAACCACCTTCACCCAGACCCCCCTGCAGATTCCCACTCCCCCTGCATCCAGAACCCTGCAACGAGCCCATGCACAGATCTCGCTTAACCCAACCCTCCCTGCACCCAGTCTCCCCACCGAGCCACCCGTACCCAGACTGCCCCACACAGAACCCTCTCACCCCATAAATGGATCTCCCCACACTAAAACCTTCCACACTTGGATCCTGGTGGGCTGAGCCTGCTTGCCCTATCACTTTTTCTTGCCTCAAGGGCGAGTGAAGGGGGGGAAGGGAGTGGAGAGGAGCGAGTGGTGGGCAGCAGGGGCCTCGGGGGGGGAGGGGGGAGGGAAGAGGCCACAGTCCAGGAACGACAGCCCCCCCCCCCCCCCGATTTCTAGGGAGCTTCCGGCGTTCACGTAGCCTCCCCAAACGAAAGACTCCCATGACACCTATACCTAGCAAGCATAATGAGCCCCTTCCGAGTACGGGCCCGGTGTGGACAGCACCACTGGGAACCCGGTACTGAGCATTAAAGGCACTGCAACCGCCGAACTGAATGTGTTAGAAGTAGGGCTGTCGATTAATAGCAATTAACTCAAGCAATTAACTCTAAAATTATTTGAGATTAATTGCACTGTTAAACAATAGAATACCAGTTGAAATTTACTAAATATTTCTGGATGTTTTTCTACATTTTCAAATATACTGATTTCAATTATAACACAAAATACAAAGTGTACAGTGCTCACTTTATATTATTTTTTATTACAAATATTTGCACTGTAAAAATGATAAACAAAATAAATAGTATTTTTCAATGCACTACAGTACTTGTATGAGGTGAAATCTCTATCATGGAAGTGCAACTTAGAAATGTAGATTTTTGTTACATAATTGCACTCAAAAAAAAAAAAAAAAAAAAAAAAAAAAAAACCAATGTCAAACTTTAGCGCCTACAAGTCCACTCAGCTCTACTTCATGTTCAGCCAATCGCTAAGACAAACAAGTTTGTTTACATTTACGGGACATAATGCTGCCCGCTTCTTATTTACAGCGCTACCTGAAAGCGAGAACAGGTGTTTGCATAGCACTTTTATAGCCAGCATTTCAAGGCATTTATGTGCCAGATATGCTAAACATTCGTATGCCCCTTCGTGCTTCAACCACCATTCCAGAGGACATGCTTCCATGCTGATGACGCTCATTAAAAAAAAATGCGATAATTAAATTTGTGACTGAACTCCTTGGGGGAGAATTGTATGTCTCCTGCTCAGTTTTACCCGCATTCTGCCATATATTTCATGTTATAGCAGTCTCGGATGATGACCCAGCACGTTGTTCATTTTAAGAACACTTTCATTGAAGATTTGACAAAATGCAAAGAAGGTACCAATGTGTGATTTCTAAAGATAGCTCAACCCAAGGTTTAAGAATCTGAAGTGCCGTCCAAAATCTGAAAGGGATGAGGTGTGGCACATGCTTTCAGAAGTCTTAAAAGGGCAACACTTCGATGCAGAAACTACAGAACCCAAACGACCAAAAAAGAAAATCAACCTTCTGCTGGGGTCATCTGACTCAGATGATGAAAATGAATATGCATCAGTCCGCACTGCTTTGGATCATTATCGAGCAGAATCTGTCATCAGCATGGACACAATTCTTCTGGAATGGTATTTTTTCTTTTTAATCGTGCGATTAATAAAAGTAATCGTTTGACAGCCCTAGTTAGAAGGTATTTATATATTGATGCAGTTGAATTTTGTGAGAGTGGTGGGCTAGTTTTGATGACGTATTGTATGGTGTGTGAGTGTAGCCTTAAAATTATTTTAGTGAATTCTGAGGAATTTGAGCAACCTTAACCGTAAACAGATTAAGTGTTTTTTAGGGCTCGTAAATTGAATGGAATACTGAGAAATCATTCAAGCAATATGTATGTTAACCCTCTAAAATTGACCTGCTGTATGTAAAATTTCTAAACACTTGTTCTTGTGCCCCAAAGCCCATTTTTAGTTTATAACAGAACATATGAGGACCTTTCCTAAGGTGTAGTCAACTATCATCAACTATCTTCCTAACACCTTGATTGTTAATTCAATTTGCTTTTACCTTAGAGGAATTTGTGATGTACATCAGTAATAAAATGACAGTCATTTGCAAAGACAGCTTCATTTTGTCAACACGCAATTCATCTACACAATCTAACAGGAAATCTCAGTCAGATTACTCCCCGCAAATCAATTCAACTCACTGAGGGTTACCTTTCCTTTATATATTTCTAAAATTGTTATGGAAGGATCATTTTTAAACTTTAATTCATTCAAATCTTTCATTAGCTCAAGATCCAACGTCATCTACATATGTACTTCTAAAATTTTAATATTTCAATTCTTTAGGGTCTTTTTTCCCCCATAAATAACACCGTTGTCATGTCACTGCTCCGATTTTTTCTATGTGCAGGCAATAGACTCTCTCAAACCCTGTTTGATACTGCGTCCAGAGTCCATACTTTAGCATGTTTCACTGAACAGGACAGGAATAGGAAAGAAGATACTTGGTCAGACCTTTAGCTAGGAAACAGAGGTAGCAAGCAAAATCTGCTTATCTTCCCATCATCATTTCATGGTTTGCACGGACGTGACAACACTAAAGAACGTCAAAAAGCAGCAAAAGCAGCTGTATTAACTTTATGTGAAAAGGAAGTTGCAGTCCCCATTCCTGCTCTCCCCAAGTCTCATTCCTAATCCCATTAAAAATATCATATCAGGTCATGCAATATCCTTCCTCTGCATGACATACTAAGACAATTTTCATAAGAACTCTGTTAAAATGAAAACAAAGGAAATATAAGTTGGGCTACCTGAAAAGGAAGTATGAAAAAACACTGGAGAGATAGGTTTCAGAGTGGTAGCCATGTTAAGTCTATCAGAAAAACAATGGAGGAGTCCTTGTGGCACTTTAGAGACTAACAAATTTATTTGGGCATAAGATTTCGTGGGCTAGAACCCACTTCATCAGATGCATGAAGTGAAAAATACAGGAGCAGGTATAAATAAATGAAAGGATTGGGGTTTCTTTACCAAGTGTGAGGTCAGTCTAACGAGATAAATCAATTAACAGCAGGATACAGGGCTGGCTCCAGGCACCAGCTTGTCAAGCAGGTGCTTAGGGCGGCCGCTCCGGAGAGGGGCGGCATGTCCAGGTATTCGGCGGCAATTTGGCGGACGGTCCCTCACTTCGCCTCGGAGCGAAGGACCTCCCGCCGAATTGCCACCGCAGATCGCGGATTTTTTTTGGGGGGGGGGCTGCTTGGGGCAGTCAAAACCCTGGAGCCGGCCCTGGAAGGATACCAAGGGAGGAAAAATAACTTTTGAAGTGGTAAGAGAGTGGCCCATTACAGACAGTTGCCAAGAAGGTGTGAGTAACAGTAGAGAGAAATTAGTATTGGGGAAATAAAGTTTAGGTTTTGTAATGACCCAACCACTCCCAGTCTTTATTCAGGTCTAATCTGATGGTATCCAGTTTGGCACATGATGGCATGTATCACATTGGAGAGTTAAACATTAATACACAGTCAAGTCACTAGACTTTCTAGGCCTCAGTTCCCCATCTGTAAAATGGGAACAGAAGTATTTCCCTACATCATAAAGTGCTGGGAAGATAACTATATTAAAGATTGCGAGGCACTCAGATACAACAGCAATGGGAGCCACAGAAGCACTTCAGATAAATAGATATACAAGCATTCAACCATTTGAAAGGTGTCTTGCAGTTAGTGTGCCTTAACACGGTTCTTTTGTAGGAACTAACTCACTGGACTACCATGTTATAACCCTCTTTGTCCTACAACTGCAGTGATGTTAACTGCCCACGTCACCTTGAATGATCTCTTACAACATGTTAACTCCTTATGCTAAACAATCTGTTCAACCTTGTATTGAGCTGTGACACTCTGGGTCCCTTTTCCCAGATGTGAAGAAGAGATTATGTAAACTCAAAAGCATGTCTGTTTCACCAACAGCAGCTGGTACAATGAAAGATATGACCTCACCCACTTTGCCTCTCTAATATCGTGGGACCAATACGGCTACAACAACAGTGTAAAATATGTTATAAGTCAGTCACCCTTGTCCAAAATGTTAAAAAAAAACAAAACAAAAAACAAAACAAAAAAACGGTGGCTTCTAATAATGTGGTGGAGATACTCAAGGTCTTTATCACCACATAAACATAGCTCACACCAATGAGTAAGAGGAAGATGAGCCACAATTCTGACTATAATAAAGTTTTCAGCAAACAAAAATCCAAAAATTTTGCCCTTAATCATTAATTCCCTATTATCTTTTCTCTTTACCTGCACATTTTCCACCTAGAAGGTAAATACATTAAGGACTAGCTTGATAGCTTTTTCAACAGTGCATCACTGTGCTCAAATTCTGTAATGTGCTCACTGCAATCACCTCTTGGATTGGCTCTGGATAAAAACTGGCAGTTGCAAGCTATTCTCTTCCAGGAATCCAGGTTTCATCATACTTTTGCCTCCTCTAGTGGCTGGTTAAGCAGCAACACCGCATAAAATTGTTTTCCCAGACAAGTTAATAAGTACAGTGTTTTATTGGACCATAAGAAGTGAAGGGGAGGAAAAAAGATTAAGGAAAGTTGGGTTTAAAGTCATTGTATGCTCTTGTCAGAGTGAAGGGACAATAAGTTATCTGGAACTTATTAGGCCCTTCCCACTCCAACCTCAAAGTAACCTCAAATGGTGACGCAAGTTTGTTTTTCTCCGAACAGTAACAAATTTACAGTTTCAATCGTGCCTTTTATGTTTTTACACATAAAATTGAAGTTTTTAATAAGAGTTCAAACTTGCCAAGAATGACATTTATTAAACACAAGTCAGTCAAATCTGGATCTCATATACAATACAAGGCCTACATTTTGAAGAGTCAGTCCAATTCCCTGTCTTGAGACTCCGTATAAAAGGATAAATATAAAAAAAGATTGCTTTTCAAGTAGCTATCTGCAGCTACTAATTCTTTTTTCAAGTTGCGACACAGATACATTGAACAGCTATAAATATTTGAGAATGCAGCACATATAAAAGATATCTTCACGCTAAATATAGTGCAGTATAGGACATAGTACAGTGCACTCTATTTGTAAGTATTACTGGTATAAGAATCAACCCCATATAGTGATCAAAACCACTGGGACAAAATCATTCCTATACTAATCTATACTCTGCTTGCAAGAATAAACTGCTCATAATAATCAAATCATCCAGGACATCTGTGATTCTTATACAAGGAGTGCATTGTATAAGAGACTAAGGGCCAGATTCTGCCCCCTTACACATATTGAATAGAACTACTTAAGTACAGTACTGTAGTTTTAGCTAGACTATTTGTGATACCAAGTACTACTCAAGGTGATCACACTAAGTAGGACTCTTACAACTCCAGCCCTCTCCCGCCCAAAAAATAAATTTCAAGTAAATGAACGAAGGGATTACCATCTTTGTACAGCCATGTTTTACAGGAAGGTTAGTTTTGGCCAAACAAAATTGCTTTTTTCAGAAGTCACCTGCCAGACCATCTTCCTTGAAATTGTCAGCCCAGCAGAACATTAACACAAGCAATGTCATGAAGCTTAATTCAGTTTGCAAAAGGTCTTTTAAATATCTCCAATTTCTCCCCAACTGCACACTACATCAATCTTTACATTTAAATATAATAAATGCTACAGACAATAAGACACTGCTGTAAAGTATTACACTAGATATTTGGGTTTGTTTTTTTCCCCAGGGATCCCAGTTACTGAAAAAAAACAGCTAATTTTAATTATATAATCATTTAGTTACAGCTAGAGTAGTTACTCATATGGAAAATACAAGACTAAGAAAGCTTTCTTTAGTGACTCTATTACACAACCTGAAATGCCCTGTCCCTTAAACTGTAAAAGATTCGGTGCACATACATATTTTTTTTTTAGATCAGCCACGTTGCAGTCAGTAGGCAGAATGAGTCATCACAGAATTGCTGCTTTTCTAAACCCTCCTACTTACTACTCCCTACATGGTTTAGGGAACTGTATGCTGAGAGTCAGCAGATGTTACTATTAGTTTACTCTCAAAACTAATGGACAGATATAAAAAAAAATGCATTTTTCTTTTTCGCGCAAACACCAATATTTAGAGGCCCCATTACTGTAATTTCATGCAATAGTCAACATTTCACACACAGAAGCTTCATTTGGTAAACTCTGATAATAACAATTTTGCAAGGTGGCTGTAAATTCGTTGCTTTACTGGGACATGATTTTCAACCAGAGTCTCGAGAATAAATATAAAAAGACTGATCACAAGAGCATATATTCAGTCAGGCTTCTGGCTGCACATCTAAATTCTAACTGTAGTTTCCACTATCCTTTTTCAAAAAGTATCAGGTTGTATTACTGCTCCCACCTAAAGTCTATTTCCATTATCAACCACCACCTTCTGGAATTTATAGCTAGATTAAAAAACTTGTTTTGTGAAATAAAAATATAATACATTTTTTGCTGGTGGTAGCACCTAGCATAATGTTTGCACTGGCTCGATCAGAACCTTTTTTCACACCAGTTAATTTAACCATTACAAAGTTGATCAAAAATAATACTGTATTAATGTAACAAAAAGTATTTTCACCATTCACAGTTGCTTTAAACATTACTGTATTTTGCCAGTTTGATCCACTGTGCCCATTTCTATTAATTCACAATCATGTAAATTGTGCTCTTTTGTTCTGTAATTTAACTACTTATAAACAAATAAAAAAAATCAAATAACTTCTTTCCCCTCACAGGGTCATCTAAGGTCCCCTGGGAAGATCCATGAACGCTTCTCACCTCAAGATTGTACCTGCCATCATCCTTCTGAATACTGATAACTGGAGAGGACTCCTTTTAACTGAGTGATGGTCAAAGGTACCAGAAGGATTTCCTCAGCTACCAAAAGGCACAAGGCACTGTTAACTTTGGAAGCAAAAGACGCTAGACAAAATCCTAGTCCCATTACTGAAACCAATTGACTTCAGTGAAGCCAGGATTTCACCCCTAGAAACTAATGTCTCAATTGGTAATACAAAGCGCTATGATACTAGTTTGGCGCCTCAATTTTACCAACTGCAGGCCAAAGCTTTTGTAGTGTATTTTAATTTTAAAAGAAAAGATAAGCCACCAAGAATCTATACATTTTAGTTCACATTTGTTTTTTTGTTTTTTATTTGCTCAACTGATCCTTTCAAAGACCATTAACAAGGAAAACTGTCATTTCCCTAATGGATTGCATTTTTGTACCTGTTGAACAACCCACCCATCCCGTTTCCATGAGTGAAAGATAAGATCTGTATTAAAAACCAGGCACTATTCATAGACGCACAGCCTTCCAATTTCGTGGGTCCCCAAAAGGGAGACAATTCTAACTACCAGGAGCATTACTTCTGCCCCATACTGGCTCTCTGCCATGACTGAAAAATTTTAAGATAGGTGACAAGAGTAATGTTCAAAAGACAATTCAGCACTGACCTTGTACCTGCCACCTATTACACCTGACTTGATATTTGACAAGCTATCCTGCCCGCGAGCCACTACAGCACATAAGAGGTCTACCTTCAAACGTCCTTCGATTCATTTGCAGGCAGAGACAAAGCCCTACCATTACACAGCTTCCTCCATGGCAAGGGCCCCCAAAGCGCACTACCAACTCAGTAGCGACACACGCTCCTTCCCGAAGGCAGCCACCTCTGGGCTGGAGCCCAGCCGCTGTCTAACAGCGCACCCTGGGCTCAGGCCAGGCGGCGGGTGCGGAGCGCCCCGGGGGCTAGGAGCAGCGGGGACAGCCCCGGTTACTGCTCGCCAACCCTTCCCGTAACGGAGCAGTTGAGTCACCCGCTGCCCACATGGGAGGCGCAGCCCGGAGGAAGAGCCCAGGGCAGGCTGCGGGTGCCCCGCGGCCGGGGTCGCGCCCCGCGGGAAAGTACGATCCCGGGCGGCAGCCGAGCCAGGCTTCCCCGCGCCCCTTGGCCGGACCCTTCCCCCCGCGCTCAGGCGCAGAGAAGCCCCCTTCCGGGGAGCGGCAGCCCGGCCGGCCACGCTGCCTCAGCCCGGTGGGCCCCGCATAGCGCCGCTGCCCCGGGGACCGGAGTCTCCGCGCGGGGGGCGCCCGCCGGGGGTGAGGGAAGCTGGGTGGCCTCGTCCCCTCCGCACGCGGGGCCGCCCGACCTACCCCAGGGCCGGCTGCCGCCCTGCCCGGCAGGGGCACGTGCCCGCCGCACTGCGGAGGCTCCCGGCCCGGTCCCGCGGCCCCGCAGGGGGGAGGGGACCCCGGGCAGCAAGGAGGGAACAAAGCGCCTTTGTGCGGCCAGGCCCCGCGCGGCGCGCACTGCGGCCTGGCCCCCGCCCGCTCGCTCGCCGGCCGCACTCACGGGGCTTCCCAGGCTCATTGAGGGGCTGCGCTGCACAGGCTCCTGCACCGCCCGGCCCTAACGGCGGGCTCCGCTCCGGTTCCCGGCTGCCTCGCTACCGCTCCAGCCGCCGCCATGTAACCCGGCTCCAAGGGTAGAGAGGGGCGGGCGCCGGCTGGCTCCGCCTACGTGGGGCGAGGGGCGGGGCCTAGGCGCCAACTCCGCCTCGCGGGGCGGGGCGGGGGGTTGCGGGAGCGAGAGAGGGTGATTGCGGGAGGGGGCAGGGCCTAGTGGGGGGCTGCAGGTGGGAAGGACGCGGGTATAGGCACAGGTACGGGGGGCGGTCCCGTGGGGTAGGAACGGATGATCGGGGAGGGGCTTACCCTGGATTGTCATGAAATGGCTGGGGCACAAATGATTGGGAAGTGGGGCATGGCTTATGGTAGCAACAAGGGGGCAGAAACAGAGGAGGGGAGGCAGGTTGTGTGGATTATGAGGGGCTGGGTGCACATAATTGAGTTCACAGGCACGTCTCTATACAGATTACAATGAGAGCAAGGCAGTCTTGCTGGAACCGACTGGGGAGCAAGGAGAGGGACTGCACCCCAACTACAGGAGTGAAACAGGAGAAGGATAGTGCTAGAATAAACGGAACAGCGGTAAATCACTTGACCCAGCTGGGATAAAGTCAAAAGCTCAGTAGTAATTTGAGAATAAAGTAAATCAACTGATAAAAACTCACAATCTTTTCATGAAAATTGGTTGTTCTAGGTGCTGTACAGAGCCCCAATCTCCCCTTCCCGCCTCCATAAACTCCTTCCTATAATAATCCTTATCAGCACCTGGCTGGACCCATTTACTTGTCTCCAATTGCCTAGCAATGTCTGTATTTGAACCTCCTCCCCCACATCTATGTACTGTACAAGATGGCTGACTTCTCCCACATCATTATATACTCTCCCACTCCAGCCCTCACACTTCATGTTTATTACTTGAAAAGAATAAGTGTCTCCTTATTACACACTGTGGTGAAGACCAATACAAGCAACATCCTTGGGCCTTGTTTACAATAGAAAAAAAGTTTGCCCTCCTGCTGTAGAGGCAGTTATAACGGCCAAACCCCTTTGGTGGGTATCAGGTTTCTTTATACCACTATTATTGCATCAACACTACACTAGGGGTTGTATCTATATTACAGGGGTGGCTAAACTTACTGGCCCTCCGAGCCACATACGACAGTCTTCAGAAGTTCGAGAGCCGGGGCACACCTGCCAGGGCTCGGGGCTTCAGCCCCGCAGGAGATGCCTGATGGGGCTTGGGGCTTCAGCCCTGCTCCTGCTGAAGCCCCAAACCCCAGCAGGAACACCGCACAGGGCTGAAGCCCTGAGACGCCCCTCCCCACTGGGCAGAAGCCACTACCCCACCACCACACCACCACCACCCTGCTGCAAGGCACAGGTCCCCAGTTCCCCCCTCCCTCAGTCTGGTAAGTGGAGAATGGGGGGGGGGGTGCAGGTGGGCTCCGCTAGCCGCACTTTAACGGTAAAAGAGCCACATAAGAATGGCCCTACTGGGTCAGACCAAGGGTCCATCTATCCCAGTGTCCTGTCTTCCGACAGTGGCCAGTGCCAGGTGCCTCAGAGGGAATGAACAGAACAGGTAATCATCAAGTGATCCATCCCCTGTCGCCCATTCCCAGCTTCTGGCCAACAGAGGCTAGGGACCCCATCCCTGCCCATCCTAGCTAATAGCCACTGATAGACCTATCCTCCATGAATTCATCTAGTTCTTTTTTGAACCCTGTTATGGTCTTGGCCTTCACAACATCCTCTGGCAAGGAGTTCCACAGGTTGACTGTGCATTGTGTGAAGAAATACTTCTTTTTATTTGTTTTAAACCTGCTGCCTATTAATTTCATTTGGTGACCCCTAGTTCTTGTGTTATGAGAAGTAGTAAACACTTCCTTATCTACTTTCTCTATACCAGTCATGATTTTATAGACCTCAATCATATCTCCCCTTAGCCATCTCGTGAGCCACAGTTATATAGCAGGGCTGGCCAAACTATATCAGTTAAAAAAAAATCACAGTCCTACCCAGCATAGTTATATAAAAACTATACTACTGTAACAAGGCTTAAAAGTTATCCCTCCTAGCTTCCTTCTTGCATAGTACTTGTCATAGTTTATGCTCCTTTTCAGGGCTCAGATTGGACCACCACCTACCAATTCAGAGAACTAGCACCTCCATGAAGGTGCTCTCTTGCTTGCTAGAAACTGTTTTCCTTTTTTGAAATGAATGTTGAACTTAGACCAGTTTTAGATTAGAAACTTTTTTTGGTATAGTAATGGCAATTGGTGGAGGGCTTGCAGAATTTCAGTATTGGTAAACCCTTTTAGTGTAGATGAAGCTCTACCTGCATAAAAATGCTTTTGTGGGTACAGTTTATTTTGCTTGGGGCAGTGATTAGCTAATACGCATGTTATACATATTGCACACCATATTAATATGTATTATACATTATATATAAATGTTAGCTAAAGTTTTATATTTGAATCATACTTACTTGGAGCCAGGTTACATATTTGAATCATACTTACTCTGGCTACGTATCCCATAACACTCTGCAACGCTGAAGTCAGCTTTGGAAAATTCAAAATCTGTCAAAATCAAAATACGTTTGTTCTATGTCCTAGTATAGTTACCTTCATGGGCAGCTGGTTTGGAATGTAGTATCCAAACCAGAGACAAGAAAAGTACAAAACCGAGGAACAAGTTAAGGAACTGTTATGGACTGGTGGGTGGGATTTTAGTGTCGTGTAAGGACTTTTGTAACTTGTAAACATACTATAAATAGCTAAAATCCATATCTTTGAAACATACCTTCTGTATGTGAACATGTTGAGAGATAAGAATTGCTTCCCGGGGGATATATATGTCTCCTTTTCATATTGTACTGCTTTGTCTTTAGACAATACATTTGGTTATGTGCTAGTGTACACTTGAAATGCTTCAGTGTAGACCAGGGATAGGCAACCTATGGCAAGCGTGCCGAAGGTGGCACGTGAGCTGATTTTCAGTGGCACTCACACTGTCCGGGTCCTGGCCACCGGTCCGGGGGGCTCTGCATTTTAATTTAATTTTAAATGAAGCTTCTTAAACATTTTGAAAACTTATTTACTTCACATACAACAATAGTTTAGTTATATATTATAGACTTATAGAAAGAGACCTTCTAAAAAGGTTAAAATGTATTACTGGCATGCAAAACCTTAAATTAGAGTGAATAAATGAAGACTCAGCACCACTTCTGAAAGATTGCCGACCCCTGGTTTAGACACTGCCCATGATGACAGAAGGTGTTCTCCTGTCGGCATAGGTAATCCACCTCCCCGAGAGGTGGTAGCTAGATCTCCAGAAGAATTCTTCCATTAACCTAGCACTGTCTACATGGGGACTTAGGTCGGCTTAACTACTTTGCTCATGGGTGTGGATTCCTGAGCAACATAGATGGGTTGCTCTACTTTTCTAGTGTAGACCAGCCGTAAGTTTGGTTATGTGGTCTCTTGACCATTCTTAGGCCTGGTCCACACTAACCCCCCACTTCAAACTAAGATACGCAATTTCAGCTACATTAATAACGTAGCTGAAGTCGAAGTACCTTAGTTCGAATTTACCGCGGGTCCAGACGCGGCAGGCAGGCTCCCCCGTCGACTCCGTGTACTCCTTTCGTGGAGCAGGAGTACCGGCATCGACGGCGAGCACTTCAGGGATCGATCCCAGAAGATCGATTGCTTATCGCCGGACCCAGAGGTAAGTATAGACGTACCCTTAAGAACAAACTGTGAGTGTACTCAAACAGTTGGCTACAGCTTTTAGACAATACAGTGATATAAACTACACCAGCAAAAGCATTCTGGTACCAGTAGAAGCTGCGTCTACACTAGGAGGGAATTGCAAGGCAAACTTTTTCTAGTGTAGACCTGAGCGTATGGTTAAGAAAGCCTCAAAAATATGCCCTGATTGGAGATAAGGCTGCAGAGAACCTGGAACAATAGCTTTGAGAGATATGAACTACCCCATTGATCTCTGGGCTTGGCGTCACTAATTTTTGTATGCGGATGAACTTGAGGTCCAGGAGGTCCCCTGTATACATTGGGGTTGCATTCTTGAAAAGGGTGATGGATATCAAAACGATGTATACCGGTGAACTTTCCCCCATAAGACATAATGGAATAAGGAGGGCGAGGGGAGGCGATCACAACTTCACCACTCTCGCCTATGACAATGCTTTTCGCCTAAACAGTGTACCTTTTTACAATGACAGGTTATACAGTACAAATTTTACACAAAACATTGAATAAAATAACATAAAACCCTACTAACACTGTTCAAACACAGAACATTTTAATACAGTAAATACAGTACAGTAATACAGTATAAAACAGTGTCAATTATGCTAAACTTAGGTAGGGGTGGCAGCAGGGTTTTCCTGGGCTGGCTTTTCCATGGCTGGTTTTTTGGTTGCAGAAGTCTTAAAAAAGGATTTTATCGATGTCTGCACTCTTGCATGAATCTTTGAACGAGAGATCTCCCTGCAGCAAGCCACTGAATCGAGAGCCCTGTAGACTTCGGCAGACCATTTATGAAAAGGATCACTCCTCTGTATGATTTGCGTCATCTCATCCAGCAATCCAAAGAAACAGGAGAGATTCTTTGTTGTCAGACCATTGGCTTCTTGCCCTACGTCATCATCATCATCCTTGCTTTCTTTGGATATCCGTTGTTGGTCCGTTCAATCAGTTCCTCATTTGTCAGTTTGGTCAGCGTGAGACTTCAACAACTCCTGTACAGCTCATCCTCCTCCTCTACCTCCTCGAAGCCGACATCCTTCACCAACTTGACAATTTCTTGCTCGAGAGCAGGAACGGCATCAAAGCCCATGAAGCTGTGGACAGCATCTGGCCATGCATGATGCCAAATGTCATTCATACATTGCAAAGTGACCTCTTCCCATGACGCGTCAATGTTTTCCACGCAGTTCAAGATGTTGTAGGACTTCCAAAACTCGTTTACACTGGGCTTTCCTTCACCTGCTGTCTCTTTAATCAGCAAGGAGAACATCCTCTGAAGGTAATAACCCTTGAATGTGGCCAGCAGAC